ACTGCCCTAGGGGCAGCACTGGGGATAAGGGGTTGGAGGGGGAGGATGGGACCAACATCTCCTCCTGCTCCTCCAGAACAAGTCCAGCAAGTTTGGATGCCGAGCAGCTCAGTCCAGGAGCTAGAAAGGGCATGGTGTCACCCTGGGAACGGGGATCACGTGGGTCTGCAGCAAAGGGAACCTGTCTCAGGGATACGTTGAAACATACCCTGCTCTCTTGTGCAATAGGTCTTTGCAAGTACAATGCTGTATTTATACTGTGGGAACGGAGAGCCCAGGGCTGGACTCAGCAGGGACATGAGTAAGCAGCTTCCAAGAGGGCCAGGTACCAGCTGGGCCAGCTCTTTGATTCCTTTTCTGTGAGCAGATACAGATTAGGTGCTGGGTCTCAACCAGCATCCTCCAGTACAGGGAAAATAGTCTTGGAGCCATATTGTAAAGTTCAAGTGGTTTCTTTGTATAAATGCTTTATCTCCCAGCGTCACTACGGAGTGATTTATCAGGGCTCCAGGAGAGGCAATGCTGTAAAGGAGAGCCAAGATGTATAAGCAGACCGTAAGGAAAGCATACTGGGCAGAGAGGACCTCTCAGCAGGATGGAAGAAAAGCAGTTCAATTAACACAGTCTGTGACAGGACAAACATTCCTTGTGGTGACAGCATCTGTTTAAGCAATGTCTCCACTCTCTCCTGCTCCTCTGGTGTTCCCACACTGCTTTTTGAGAGGCTGCAGAGAGGACCACGGGAGGGGGCCAATCTAGCAGAGAGGCATTAAGAACAAAGGTGAGGCAGATTCCTTAGCTGCCACTACAGCTGAGAAAAGTCAAACCAGACCCTGCTTCCAAGCTGGAAATGGTTGCCTAATTCATACATAGCATTAAACTTGGAGCAATCTGAAGAAAAAAGCCATTTAGCACCTGAGGATTATATTGGGGGATGTTAAGAAAGTGATAAGGTTGTTAATGCAATCACACTCCTCTCAGGAAATGGGAGAGGATGCCATTCCCAGGTAATTGCATTTCAGCAGGGTTCCTCCTGCTGGACTCCCGTCAGCTCACTTCATAATAATTCAGCCTGGCCCTTCAAAGTAAATAGGATGTAACTGACAGGGCATAAAGATCTCCAGAAGGACTTTTAGACTTGCCCTTCTGGTGCTGGAAGGAGGCTGCGCTGAGTCAGACGAAACTTGGTATTATTTTGGGGATTAATTCCCAGTCAGGGTTCAGTGGAAGCTCAGGAAAGTGTTGCCAGCTGGGAACCTTCTTGGCACAGTTAAGCCTATTTAGGGTGTGCTACCTACTGAAAAAGGAAACTAAAGGGTCTTTCCTTTCCATAGTGTGTTCCTACCATTGCTGATACCCGAGCTCAGCTCCTTTGGAGATGGCAGCTGAGAGTGGCAGCAAGCACACTGGCTTCATGTGGATTTATACTACATGGTATGCACCTGAACTGAAGTACTGCACTGTTGCCTATACAGGTGGGAATCCCTGATCAGTTATTCTGCTGGATGCAAGGACTGTGTAGGAATCTGCTGTCCAGGATCCAAGTCAGAGTCCTGATAAAGAAAGGAAGTACTTTTAGCATCTGATACCGAGCTTGATCTGACAGAGCAAGTCAGATCAACTAATCATACGGATCCTTTCTGGCATGAAAGAAGGCATCACTTGTGAGGAATTGTGCTGGCCTAGTAAATGGGCTGAGCTAGCTTCATCCAGCTTGGTGGGGTGGTTTGTGTTAGCAACCGTATCCCAGGAACTGCCCTGTGCTCCCAGCAGCATCTGAAAATACAGGTTGGTCAAGCAACACTGCAAGGCAGAAACAAACCTAAACTACCAAAGCACAGACTCCAGTACTGCACCACGGAGAGGACTAGAGCAAGTCTTTAAAGACACTTCAGGTGGCTTTAGTAGGAAACTCCATTTAATGAGGTAGATTCATCCCCCCACCCAGGAGTTCAGCTTTGTTCACGGGTTTCAGGGAGTTTTAGAGTGCTTATTCTGCACATGACAGGATGTGGCTCAGTGGAATGACTCACTCCTTGTAAAGTTAATTCACACTTTGCTGCTATTTCCATTCACAGGTTCTTCTGTAAGCTTTAGTGCCAGGAAGCTGCAAAGCTGGGAGCCAGTTCCAAATATTCCCACAGGTTACTTTACATCTAGCAAATAGTAGATTGCAGGAGGACAGTGTGATCTCAGACTTTGTTAAAAAAAAAAAAAAAAAAAAGAAAGAAAAAAAAACTTCCCAACAACAATACAAACCAAAAACCACCACACAACACCACCCCCCCAAAACCCCACAACCTCCCCACACAAAACACAAGTTCCCCAATCGTGTTTTGTTGGCAGTAATTTCCTATTCCCTTCTAATTTCTGAATCCTATTTGCTCATTACCTCTCTGACATTTACCTCTCTGCTGAACCACCACACCACACTCAGCAGCCTCATTTCCCAGTTCTCTGACTTTGGAGCAGCTATGGGAGCCCAGATGTGGACAGGCAGGGGTCTTGACCTATCTGTAATGTTGAAGATGGGGCTAAAAGTAGGAGTCCTGTGAGCTATCTTGGATAGAACCTTTGCATCCTGTGTGGCACAGGCAAAATTTTTCAGCATTTGAACAGTGTTTTAACTACCAAGGTACGTTAAATAAAACCGGTTGCTAAATTACCCCCCAGCCTAATGACAGAGCAGCATGGTGTTATTAAGGCTCCAAATGCAAGTCGTACGTGGGCTTGATTCACTGAGTGCTGGGAGGGCCTCCTGACTGGCCCCTGGATGGTGGCTTCTGGGAAGAGGCATCGAAGGCTTTGGATGTTTGCTACTCCATCCCCCTCAGGAGCTTTCACCCTGAGTGGCTGCTGAGGTAGGTAGAGAAAGATTAACTTTTAGAGGCAACAGAAAGAACTTGGAAGGTTTCAGCTATAAGGCGATTTTTACCATTGCCAATGGGGATTAGGACATGGAGTGAGAAATGAGGCTATTTTCCCTCTTATGCTATTGTCAGTAAAATGAAATAACTCCTCCTCCATGTTAAAGCCCAACTTAATTTGCGCTGACAAAATTACAAACACAAATTGTGGACATTAAAAAAATTTATTTGACCAAATATTAGATGCAATCACAGAGGAAGAAAGTAGCTCTTAGTACAGTTTCTTTTCCAGAATGAAATAATCCATGTGTCATACCAAGCTACTGCAGGACAACCCTTGCTCTCCTCGGCAGGAGAGAGGCTGGTGTTCTTTCCACCTGTGGATTTGCTCCAAAGGGGTATGGCATGCTCTTTGGCAGGTCACACCACAGCTCTCAGTCTCACAGGCTAAGGAAATGTGTAAAGACCCAACAAACTGAACTACAGTCATACAGCAAAGGTGCCTGTCCAGGTAGGAATACATGCAGGGATGCACTACTGAGAGCTTTGTTCAGGAACTGGTGTCCTACCTAAACCTTTGTCAGACATGTCACTTCTGGCTACCGCCTCTATACTCACCATCTCTTAGGACTCCTCCCAGACCTGAATGGCATTTCAGTAGGAGAGTCCTTTCAACATTCAGCTCATTTTGCTACACTATCCTTTTCAGGTCTCTAAGCTTTGCCCTACAAGTAGCTCCAAGGCTAGGGGTAACCTCCCTTTGCAGGAAAACTCATCCACCTCTTTTATCCTGCAACAGTACCCAGGGAGACAGCAGTCTTGTCTCCTGTCCTAGGGACTACGTGAACTGCACCACAAAAAGAGATAATTGTGAGAGATGTTTGCAGGCATCTGTTTAGAGCCAGACTGCATTACTTGCATTTGTCTTTTTACAGGCTCGCTAGCTCATGTAAGCTTGCTTTTGGACCAGGGCAAACCATCCACAGCTATATCGCTTTCTGTCACATCACGCCAGAGCATTCCCCAAGTGATGGGCCATGGCCAGATGCACAGAACACCCTGAGTATTGAAAGTATTGCTTGACAGACCTGTCACACCCTCTGCTACATAAACCAAAATGAAATGTCTCTGCAAAAGAAGATTTAGAAATTGATGAAAGTTCTGTAATAAAATGTGAATAAACTCACCAGGATATTAATCCCCTGAGAAACAGGTGAGAGGGGAAGGGAGCAAGCACAGCAAAAGTTTTTCTCCAGCAGAAATTTCATGGATTGCCTTTGCTTTTGATTTCATCTGATCAAGCAGTGACTTTTAAGAAAGGGAAGCACAATAGAAATAAGCCCTGTACCCTCCCTTCCTGTTCTGCAGCCTCAGGAAGAACTGTACAAGGTAAATTCTGTTCTCTTGTGTAGATGTGAAATGGAGGATTTTACTGATGAAGAGGAACTCTCTCACTACAACACCCTTCTTTTGATTTGGAACTGAATGTATGGATAATATTACCTTGGAATTGATACCACTAGCAAATTTTTCAGGTCCCTAGAAGATTCCCTGAATATTAGCATCTCAGCTAAGTAGAATCACAACTTTCATTTAAAAACATTCATTCTTCTTTCCTTCTCCATCTCCCTTTCTTCATTCCATCTTTTTCCTTTTTATTCTCTTCCTTTTCTTCCTTCTTTCATTACACGCGTGGCTCTCCCTCTACATTTCACCCCTTGGTAGTGTTATTAAAGCCTTTGCTGACAGAGTTTTGTCGCTGCTAGACAGAGCCGCTCATCACTGTTCCTCACCTGTTCTTTCTCTCAAAACTACACACACACAAAAAGCCTTTCAAATTAGGTCCCCAAGTTCACAACTACCTCTTAGGATAGGACTATAACACTGGCCCCCAGTGGACTAGACAGTCCTCTCAAAAAAAGTTTTGCTCAAGGTATTGCTATAGTCCCAGTTCATTTTCTCTTCAGCTTGCTAATGGCCTTTATTTAGGAAATACCTTCTCAAGGGTACTCTCAATAGAGGGCCTTTAAGAAAGAGTGCTGCTTTTTCACAGCCAAGGAACTTCAACCTAATTTGGCAAACAGAATCAGAGGGGGAACCCAAGTCTCACGTTACAAACTCTGCAGCCCACGTCTGACCACATTGCAGTCACCCCTGCCCTAATCTCTGCCAAGCCTGTAAATCAGCCAAAACACAGGCCGATTTCAAAAGTCCCCCACATTTATTATGCTTCACCAGAACTCCAAAAGTGTTTGAGCTTCAAACAGGAAACTGGTCATTTTGAACAATGTAAGGAGCCTGCCTGTTCTGGGGTACTGAGTCTTCATGTATTAAAGGCTCCCTTTAGTCTGTGACACTACAGACATGTCCAGCAGGTATTATAGCTGCCTGGACCATTCTACATCTTGGCACAACGGCAATCTAGTTCATGTCTCCTAGGCATCTGATACTGTACCCAGCAAGAGACAGGTTTCCAAGCCCAGCAGCTTATCATACCCTCCTTGCTGGGGCCATAGGAGCAGTCACTCCAAGAAGGTGCAGAGCCAGTACTGGCATGAGGTGTTTCTCTTCCCTTCCTTTAAAGCAGCTTCAGACAAAGCAAAAGAACTTCTTCCAGCGGCACTTGGAGAGAGTCTTGATGCCTTTGGCGGTCATCTTCTTTTCCTGACGGGCTTTGTGCTCAACACCACTGACAATGGCCATGTCAAAAACTTCTTTGAGGTTCTTTTGAGTCAGTGCTGAGCATTCCAGGTAGGCTTCAGCCCGGATTTTGTCAGCTAGACCTTCTGCCTGAGGCCGTGGCACAGGTTTCACATGGTAGCGATCCAGGCTGATGAGGACATTGACATCGTCCCGCAAGTCTGCCTGTGTCCCCACTAGCAGCACCGGTGCCCGGGGGTTGTGAGTTCGTATCTCAGGAATCCACTTCTCAGTAATATTTTGGAACGAGCTTGGGTTTACCACACTGAAGCAGACAAGGAAGACGTCGGTGTCAGGGTAACAAAGAGAGCGCAAACAGTCAAAGTCCTCCTGCAGAAAAGGGAGGGGGAAAAAGGAAGGGGGGAAAAATTAAAAAGAAGTTTTCACTGGACTGATCTTCTAACAGCATGATACTTCATGTTAACTCCACATGTTAACTAGGACAGCAACACCCTCAGAGGTAGAGCATGTACTGATTTTGTGGCCATGCCATGTTTCAGACACAAGTTTCTGAGCCATTGACCAAATGGCTGGTGCTGCACTAGTGCATTTCCTTTATTCCCAGTTCAACACTGCCTTCCTCAAAGCCTGCAACAGTCGCTGTCCCACAGGATCAGAACTGAAAGATGCTTAGACAGAGCTTACCTGTCCAGCAGTGTCCCACAGCTGAATCCGGACTGGGGCTCCATCCACAAGGACCTGCACTGTAGCAGAAAGAGAATGAGGATGAGTCTAAAGCAGTTGACCAGCATGCACAGATACCCTTGTACAGGCTTTTCCCTTTACTGTGGGTCATATCCCATTGAATAGACTCACTGAAGTCACTTAAGTCTGTCCTCCTAGCTGACCATCCTGCCAGACCTCACTAAAACAGCTGAAGCTTGAGCTGGGTACATTAAAAGACCTGCAATAGACCTGATTTTGTTAGCTCTCAGGTGTTTTGTGTACTTGTCCAGTATTTTGAAAGAATAGTTCCACATTACTGAACAACTGTTCCCCTAGAGAAGAGGAACCCTTAGCCAAACGGTGTCCTGATCAACCACTCATCCTTCTTCCACAACACAGGAAAGAAGATAAGGATAAAAACAAACTGAGAACTTCATCAACTTGCTCCTTGCTTCTTGGCCAAGGAAACTCAAATCACTTTCAAACAAGCTATTGGGAGATCTTTCCCATTCAGACCACAAATTTGGCTTTAAAAAAAAAAATTCTGTGAGTGTCCTAGCTAAGGAAAAACAAAGACCTAAACCCATCTTTGAAATGAAGAAACTATTAAGGAAACAATGATGAGTGAAATCCCCTTCAGAGACTATCCACACATCGAAAACTAGAAAACTGCTTAGTTACACATGTAAAGTTTGCTCCCATTTCACTCCCTAATCACAATAAGCCTTCATGTGGTATCAGCTGACTCAGACTGCGGGCTCTGATGGAAATCTGGAATGAAACTGTTAGATGTTTAAGCACACAGATATCACAGAGACTGGTTAGGAACTGAGGAAAAGGAGAAAATTGTTGGGGAGCTGGAAGTCACTTGAAAGTCCGGACAAGGTGGATGGGGTTGTGATTGGATGAATAGAGGCAGACATCAAGGCTAAGGTGACAATGCTGGCACTTGACATGAGCTAGCAAAACTCGATTGCTGTGTGCAAAGAGGAGGCTTTATTGTCTTCTTCATTAAAAACAAAAGCAAAAGCAAACAAAAAAACTCCCAACCAGAAACCAGATCAAGTTTTTGTGATTCTTGAAGTAATCAGTCAGGTGAGAAAACCGATAGAAACAACTGACTTAAAGAGTTTAACACAAGCATTTGAAGTGTAACACTCCTCCATGAAATCGGTCTGGTGGGGAAGAAGAGGGAGACACAGACAAAAGATGACCTGAAGTTTGGTGGGAGACTGAGACTGGAGTTAAAATGAAGGGGTGGGTGCGTCCACCACAGTGCCACTCCTCACGGCATAGCTGAAAGTCATTGCTTCCTTGTGACTGGGAAAAAGTTGGGTTGTTACCATATCTTTGCCCCAGAGGAGGAAGAGAAACCTGTTCCTGATCAAAGAACCTGCTAGATCCTGACTTGATCTTCAAGGTAGGAGGCATTTGCCTTTCTAGTATCTGGTTTCCTCTGTCTCATAAGTACACTGAGAGAAGGAATTAGCATCTCTGAAATGTTTTGCCATCTTCAGCAGACAGGTACCACATATATTACTTACTGCTCCAGTGTTTGCACAAAGTTTTGTCATATCTGCTGTTAGCCTGAACTACACTAGCAACTCTGCAACAGCCCTCCAAATACCGCCCTCACAAGGTCCGCGCCCTCAGGATGAGGATGGATCACGGTACAATAGCGAAGGGGCCGGCAGAACAGGATAGCCTGGTGGAGAAAGGTCACTGGGTACGCGTTTCACCCAAGGCTGCTCTACCTGGCAGCGACACCCAGCAGGAGGTAGCATCCAGACAGATGTATGTGGCTGGGTCACTGTCCCAGAGCTGTTCCCCTAATAATGCAACACCTTGCCCTATCTTACTGGCATCACAGTCCCATGACCAGGATTAAAGTCAGGATGTAAACTGCTCAATTCTGCTGGCAGTTGCAATTGCAGGTATTCCCCAAGAGTGGGAGGAATTGGGTTGAAATTTCTGAATTGGATCCTGAATCATAATTTGTGAATCCAGGAAGGGACTTTCCTCAGATTTATCCAGATTAAGAGCAGGGATGGGAATGGAAACTTATCTGTTCTCCCATTTCCTCCCAAGAAGTAGAAACTGAACTTCAGAATACCTATTTTTAATGTTTTTGATTTCTATCAGTAGCAAATCCTATGCATCTCTGAAGGCAGGCTTAGTACTTGGGACATCCAGTCTGGGGCTAAACCCATGTGCAGGTATTTTAAAATTAACTATTGCTAATGTAGGCATCTCTGCACTCGTGCTGCCTTCACCTTTCTGGATAATTTTACTATGGATTTGATCTTTCAAAAAAAATGTGCAGGCTAATAACAGTAATTTTAAGCCTCTCTTAACCCAAACCATACACATTAATGTAAAGGGGGCAGAGAGAGAAGTAACTTTTCCCTTGAAGCACTCATGACTCCTTACGTTTGTTCCCAAAGGGCTGCTGGACCCTGAACAGCAACATGTTCCCAGTTCATTTCCTTCAAGTGACAGTGGAAGAGAGGGTCAAGGTAAATCAACAATTCCCGGTGTAAGAGTGAGCAAGTGGGGGGACATTCAGACAAACAAAACACTCCCTCTAAGCACCCTGAGACTATGACACATTAGATGTCTCATTCCTGGTCTGACTCGAGCACATCTCTAATCTACCAATCTGTATTATCAAGTACTGTTGTGTTTCTTCATATCAAATGAAGATAAGAAATCTTTCAAAGGGCTTTGTATTCTTCTGGGGTTTATATTAGAAATCGGAGCCCAAAGGAAGAGGAATGTAGAAAAAGAACAAAGATAGCATTTAGAAAAGTGGAACCTAATGAGAGCTCATCAGCTGACAGGGAAGGCAATTCTAGCCTGACTTACAAAGCTCTTCAACTTTTTGCCAACCTCTCTTCAGTGCTAACTTCAGCACGCACGTGGGGAAGAGGCTGGTTTTCCTGAATGTCAGTTGAAGCTAGAAAGCCTACAGTGCAATGCTGTGATATTTCTGAAGCTAAAACCACCACAAACAACAATAATGAAAAAATTAAACCCCCATCTATTTAGTCGTAACAACACCACGAAACCATTAAGGTGCCCAAGTTCATGGCACTTGCAAACCAGCTCGTCACACACTGGGTTGACACAGAGCTGCAGAACGCAGGACCTGCATCTGCTAAACCTCGCAAAGTGCCCGAGGGACTCGGTCCGAGTCACAGAAACGCCCCGGGCTGCGGGCCCCCGGGCTGCGCTGAGCCCCCGGCGCGCAGCACGGCCGGGAGCTGCGGCACCGGGAGCGCTCACCTCCGCCCCGCTCGTCCCGACGCCGCGCCGGAGGGGGATCCCTCCCCGCCGCCCCAGACCCCGAGCAGCCCGGGAGGGCACCTACCGGAGAAGGTGTCGAGGGCGGTGGGCTGGTACTCGTCGGGGTACCCGTTGGTGGTGTAGCTGACCACCAGGCTGGTCTTGCCCACGGCGCCATCGCCCACCAGCACGCACTTGATGCCCAGCTCCGGGCCGCTGCTCCGGGGCGGGCTGTGTCTCCGCAGGGCGGGCGCGTAATCCAGAAGCTCCTGGGGAGGCATGGCAATTCTAATGGCACTGGCACAGGGGGCTCGACAGGACTCAGCGAGGGGAACGGCGCGGCGAGGTCACTGCCATGCCCGTGCGAGCGCGCTGGTGTCGGGGTTGCCGTGCGGGGCCACCTTCTCCAGCCCTCCGAGCTTCGCTCCTCATCACTGCACCTGCCACCCAACGCACAAAACCGGCCCCGATTTCCCTAGTCCCGCCCCGGTCCGCCCCGCCGGGAGGCGGCCTGGCTCAGCCCTGCCCGGCCCGGCCGCCTCGTCCCGCCTCGTCCCACGGGTGAGAGACCCGCTGCTGCACCCCCATCAGCCGCGATGCCCTCCTAGCAGTTCCTGCCCTCGGAATTTCGGTGGGTGCCACGCTGTGCTCTGGGTCATGCACACACAGGAAAGCCGCACTCCACCCGTGCCCCTCCTGCTTCCTTTTCAGAAGAAGCAGGACAATTGCCCCACCTGGGGCATCTGTGATTTCTGCCATAAAATCAGGAAAGGAATAAAACCAACAGTGCTGGTCAATATTGTGAGGGACAATGGAAAACAAACGCCCGAAATACATCACATCTGTTGACTGTGTGGTTATCATTACGGTCATTTATCTGACCCAGCCAAGCTCTTGCTAGATGCTGACAAAAGCCACAGAGTGTATTTTTTCAGCTGCATGGACAGGTGCAGGAGTTCTCAGCCTGATGCCTTATTTCATGTTCACCTTTGGTAGCTCACACACCACACAGTGCCCTTGGCAGCTGAGAAGACGGCTCCATCCCTGCCCTCAGGAGCCTACTGTCTGAAGAAGTAGGACTAAACAAACAGAGGAGTGGGAGCACACCACTTAAAAGGAGAGATGCGGCCACACTATCACAGCAATCATCGCACACCAGCATAGCACCTCCAAGTGATTGGAAACACTGGTGGGAAACTACTAATGCCTGTAATACCTAGTATTGCAACATCAGCTTTGAATGTGGATCGGTGTCCTAATGAAGAAGCTAAACTCTGGCTGTCTATGAACACCATTAATTTAGTTACCACAGTGTCCTTCATGGTGCTCTCAGCAAGGGAGACCTGTCTGCACTAGGCAGGTTTGTGCTGCAATGAGCCTCTGATTAGCAGTTCCTGAGCTTGTGTCCTGCTATAGTTTGCATCCACATTGAGAAGCTACACAGGCGTTTCACCTATATTAATACTAAACTTGAGAATATGTCTTTAAGCCAGGCACAGTCTAGAATGTTTTTCGTTATGGTTTGCAGAAAGTCACAAGCACTGCAACCCTTCAGATTCACTGGACAAAGCATGACCACTCTTTGGAGACAGCCCACAAGCTTCCTGGGAACAAGAAGAAAGAAGGCTTTTTCTTTGCAGTTTTCTCTAGCAGTTTGCTTTAATCAAACCCTTCAGAGTTTTTACTAAAGCACAGCCTTAAATTTCTACAGCCACAAAAAAAGGAGATGGTATTAGAAATTAGGCTGCTGCTAAAACATGTGCCAGATAGTCTTCCTACAGCAAGTGGCTGCTGTCTCAAGGGACTGGCTTGTATTAGACTGGCTTTTTCTGGTGCTGTGCTCTTCAGTGCTAGTTCAGAGCGAGGTGACAGCTGAACCGCTCCAGAAAAGGCAAAAAGTGCTGCAATGTGTGAGGTGTGGCTGTGCCTCCACTGGGACTGGCAAGGACACAATACACCACAACCAAGGCAGGCAGCACATCAAGTGAGGACCTTGCAGAGCTTTTTCAGTGCACTTCAGACACAGGCTGACATTCTGTGAACTGTGACATTTCCATTTAATCAGAAGAAATGAATGTAAATGAGGGATTATTCACCAAATTGTTCACTGTTAGCAGTAGCAGGGGGAAGAGATGAAGCTGACAGCACTTGTTTCCTGTATACTGTTTACTTGGGAATGGATGCCCCTTGAGAAGATATACTGTTGCCCCACTCCACTCTTTTACTCTCATTCCTTTCCTAAAATTTCTTCCTCCTGAGACTATGCTCTGAGACTATGCTCTTTTTTCCTTGCAGCTTCTGACAGCCGTTGGCAAACACACACAACTTGTCAATGAGCTTAAGTGATTTTTAATCTATATTTAAACTAAGTGATTAAGCAAACAAACACAGCAGCTCCCATGGGTTCGTTTCTCAGGTCTTGCCTTGCTCCTGACACTGAACAAAAGATGCACGTTTAGTTTCACAACACGGTAAAAAGCCAGACATTTTGGGTTTTCTAGATTTTTTTGCACAGTTTGGGATTTTTGCAGTGAAAGTCTGTCCCACTCTCTGAGCTGCTGAACTGACAGCCACAGGGACCAGCTCTGCCATGTAGGTAGCAGGTACAGCAGGAAAGCCCCACTGCATGCTGCTTGCCTGACGTGCTCTTCTGCCAAAAGCATCTGTGCCTGAGTGGGAAATACACAGTCTGCAAGGCTGTGTTTGGCCTATCTCCCAGGAATTATAATTAGTACAAATTATGACGGTCTTTCTCATGATGAGAATTCCCATCTACCAGGAATTAAGTGCAGAAGATCAAACTCTTTTCAGGCAGATCAAATATAGATTTCAGGTACTGTTAGTGTTTAACCGTTACTCAGCTGAGCTGCACTATTATGTGTTGCTTCTTAAATGAAATAGACAACCTGCTCCATTAGAGTACAGAGTGATTTACAGTGGAAATAAATCTATATGGTTAGGCAGTGTGTGATTGTTACCATCAAACAAACTTTATACATCTGTACAAAGTCCTGTTTTTAAAAGAAACAGTCATTTAGAGGAAGACAGTTCATTTTCTGCCCATTTATAATAATTATAGCCATTTTTCTCACTGCTGCTGTGGAAGGAGAAATTCACCTATTGACTAAGTTAAGACCAGTACATAAACCAATCTGGATGAGGAGGAAACTAGGGCTTGTCCCTTCTGGGGACAAAACTATGGATCAGCTCAGACTATTCCATATAGTTTCCCTTCTGAAGTGCAGTGTTATAATTTTGGGAAATTGTGACACTGGGCTTTTTTTGCACCTACTAGTCCTGACTTCACAGGCTCCTGAGCAATATTTCACCTCCAACAATCTCTTATTCTTCACTTCTGACAACATTGTCTTCTGCCTACCTGGCTGATATTCTTCTCCCGAGTCTTGTCTGAAAGTCACAGACTGGAAGCCACTATCATTTTTGCAAAGCCTACCGAACTACTCATTGCCTCAGAAAAAATACCTCATGTTATGGGAGTTGGCAGAACTCAGTTTTAAAAATATTAGGGCTCCCTTCTTACCAAGAGAGAGGAAAAAAATTATCAGCTACTCTTAACACAGTAGTGAGCTAACCCAGCCTTCGGGAATACTTGCATTTGTACAGGTGGGCTGTGTACATCCATATGCTACCTTTGCAAGTGGTGCCCTTGGATCACATTTCTGAATCATCTTATGGTGCTGTGCAAGAGAAACCCTAAATGATGAGAAATGGGGGAATGCTGAGAACAGGTGGCAATGTCATTATGCCTTGGGGCAGGGGGGATCTAAGACTGAGAGTGGGGCTAAACTGGAGTGCAGGTTCCAGAGCAACCCGGGTCCATGATGCCAAGGGACACGTTGAGGAAATCAAGATACAGGCGCTGCCCTGCCAGTTGCATTCATAGTCATAAGCAATGAGACAACCAGTGCTGAGTCACCCAGTGTTTTGTCATGCACCTGAGTGTGTATCCTCCCTGGGAAAAATCAAGCATAATTACCACTTAAAAGAAGTGACAGACAAAAGAGTGAAGACAAGAGCCTGAGCCTGGTTTTCCCTTGAGGTTTGCCTTGTCTGGTCACTGCAACCTGCAGGAAGTGATGTCAAATGCTTCCTCGTATAATTTTCTATCAACTTCACAGAGGCAGAAACAGCCACAACACAAAAGTCAGTGAAAATTCTGTGGCTATTGACAGAAAAATTACTACAACTTAAATCAAAGAAAAAAATTTTCTATTATTTGCTTTCTAATATAGAGTTCTTGATTGATAGGAATTTCTGTAAAAATATTTTACAATTCTAGAGCAGCGAATGGGTACTTCTGGTGTGAACTGGAGCTTTGTGGTTTTGAAATACCTTCTTGGAAAATAAAAAAAAAAGAAAAAAAGGAGAGAAATGACATTTGAATACAGCTCTCACTATCCTGGCCTCTGAATTACTTTATTGCTTCTTCAGAATAAGAGCATGCCATGGGAGATGCACAGAGGTGTTCTGGCTCATCCATTCACTGCTACCCTAGTTAAATGTGGAGGCAAAGAGCCATGACAATTTAAGACTACAGAATACTAAGTTTAAATGACATGACAGTGTCACTAGCTCAAAAAATACTTTCTTAAACGTTCCAAGGAAAGACAAATACCTGTATTGTACTAAGCCCCTTTCTCAAAGACAAATTCATCTCCCATCTGACTTGCACAGGAACAAGTCCTACCTCTCAGTTGTTCTATAAATAATTTAGAAGTGTGTTGCCACCTGCTGGAGAAGGTACATCTTCTGACACATCAACTGATAAATGTGAAAGAACAGGCAAGATTTAAGGCACTCAAAGCCCTTTCTTTAAATCTGAAAGAGAAACAGCAAATTTCAGACTAAAGACTGGTTGGGAGACAATAGTCTGAGCTTAATTTAATCATGTCAGTCAAGTATCAAAAAAGAGGAGTTAACACTTAACTGGAATGGTTGAAGGAATTAACAAGAGGAAACTGATAAAATTCATATCCCCACTGTGAAACAGGGAAAGGCAGGCAGTTAACACCAAACAGTGAGGAGTTGGGTTGAAGAGGGATTGCTGGGAAAACCATAAAATCCTGTAAGACCACTGTCTCCACCAAGGTACCAGTTTCAGCTCTCAAGCTTATCCTTTATGGATCTTCCTTGAAGGTCAGAACTGAGGGATTAGCCACAGGGTGCTGGTGACCAGAGAAAAGGTTCCTGTCCTTTTAGGACTGAGAGGTTATGCCCTAGGTTTCCATGGGGGCACTCAGCGGGCTTACAAAGGGCAGAA